CTGACCCAGAACTCAAAATGAGTGCCCAAACCAGTGGGCAGTACACCGTAGATGAAAGGATGGTTCACTAAGATCTCTGCCTGCTCTACAGCTTTGTCACAGGTTTCACACTCCTCCCAGACCTCCTGCAGCAAGCTACCAGCCTTTCCTGGCCTCATCCCTATGTAGTTTGCTGCATGGATGTGTTGGCTTTGTGCAGATGCCTGGTGTGACACTCTCTTGTCTCCAGTGGCTCCCGAAGCACTACCACATTGTGTGTGAACAACACAAGGAAGAGCTGCTCTGATTGCAGTTCTCAGAAGTCCATGGTTCTGGCTCAAGAGTTCGATAGGTGTTGGCTCTGACATTGTGCTGACAAGTAGTGACTGCCTCGTTTGGTGTTCTCAGGAGCTGGTCAGGAAGCAAAGCTGAGAGGAAGCAAATAATAGAAGATGCAAAGCCCTGAGAGAAACCCATACTTGCAGAGTGGTTGCTCGTGTCCGAGCAGCTGTGGGCAAGGTGAGGCTGCCTACTGCTGGACTCTCATCTGTAGCAGCTGAGCTGGTGAGGAGAGGCACATGCTTTTTAATTTTCTGGTGACACCAAGCTGGGATGACCTTGAGAAACAGCCTAAAATAAGGGGATCAACTTTAATAGGGACACGTGCAAAGTTCTGCATGTTGGGCATGGGCTAAACCACCTCCCAGGGACAGTGTGGGAATGACTGGCTGTGGAATTATCTCCAGATAGAACATGGAGGGGTTATAAAGTTGGAAATGTACCAACTGATGACAACAGCAGGTATAGCGTTTGATATAGTATGGCTTTCTGAGCATTTTAAACAGTCAAAGAGCCCAGGAAAGTTAAAATAAAACCAGCTAATTTGAAAGGCATGGGAGGAGTGTGACATAGCCCCTCTCCAGCTGAACTGTGTTGGGAATGATGCAAGAGCTGGGCTGGAAAACAAACCCAGTGGTGTTGTGTTTGTGTCTTCCCCAGAGAATGAAGTGTCATACTTCCCTTGTCCTGCTTCAGGTCATCCAGGGCTGAAGCATGGAGTGCCTGGTTTAAGGATGGGGAAAAGGTGTGAGGAAGAAAGTCCACCAGCTGATACGAAGCAAGCTGTATGGGTTTTGTGGCACTTAGTAGCTGGGAAAAAAAAAAAAAAAAAAAAAAAAGAACACAATGTGCCTTGTTATTCTCTTATGCACAAAAGCTAGCCCTCAGGGACTGGGTTTTACCTGCCAAGGAAAAGGGCTGATGCTTCCTGGTGATTTTCTTCCAAAGGGATTGTTTTTCCAGAGCCCTGCAGGCCAGCAGGAAGCCCCCCCGTGTGAGCAGCAATCCCAGGCACTGCTGGAGATCTGCTTGGGCTGGGTTTGGCTGCAAGGAGGCGAGGAGTTGTCTTTCCTCAGGCAGCCCTTCTGAGGCAGGAGTGTGGGGAGCTGAGTGTGTGCTTGCCCTGTCAGGGTGGACTCCTGCTCAGCCTGGGGGGCTGAGGGGATCCTGGCAGCTCTGGGGTTGAGAGACTCCCAGGTCCCGGGGGGGGTGTGGGGTGTGGGGGGTGTGAGGTGGGTCCTGAAGCACTGAGGGGGTCAGAGTCCAAGGAACTTGTGAATGACCTATAGAATCACAGAATCCCAGGCTGGTTTGGGTTGGAAGGGACCTTAAAATTCTTCTGGTTCCAACCCCCTGCCATGTGCAGGAACACCTTCCACTAGACCAGGTTGCCCCAAGCGCCTGTGTCCAACTTGGCCTTGAACACTGCCAGGGATGGGGCAGCCACAGCTTCTCTGGGCAACCTGTGCCAGAGCCTCACCACCCTCACAATAAAGAACTTCTTCCTGATATCTAACATGAACTTCCCTGTTTAAGTTTAAGCCCATCACCCCTTGTCCTATCACTACAGTCCCTAATGAAGAGTCCCTCCCCAGCATCCCCATAGCCCATCTTCAGATGCTGGAAGGCTGCTATGAGGTCTCCACGCAGCCTTCTCTTCTCCAGGCTGAACAGCCCCAACTTCCTCAGCCTGTCTTCATACGGGAGGTGCTCCAGTCCCTGATCATCCTTGTGGCCCTCCTCTGGACTTGCTCCAACAGCTCCATGTCCTTACCATGTCCGTCCCTGGTACTTCAAGCTCCTTCCCCGCACCCGCCACCAACCCCCAAGTCGGGGCGGGCTTCCCGGCGGCCCCGGCAGGGGGCGGTAGAGTGCGCGCTGCCCGCCTCCCTGGAGCTGCGAGGGCAGCGTCCCTCCCGCTTCGGGTGTCTTCGGCGCTCGGGGATGACGTCAGGGGGCGGTGCGGAGCCGCGGGCCGGAGCGGGCGGAGGTGAGTTTTGGGGCGGCCGCCTCCTCAGCCGGGGGGGGGACGACAGTCTCGGCCCCGTCCGCCCCTGCCTTCTCCTGCCTTGCTGCCGGGGTGCTGGCGGCTCGGCATCGCGATGCAGCAGCGGTGCGGCCCGGGAGGCGCGGGTGCGCCGGGCCCCGGCGACTCAGCCGTGCCGCTGCCTGGGGTGCTGGGCGGCGGGTACGGGCTGGTCAGGGAGGGAGCCCTGACCACTGGGCCGGGCCGGAGTGGGCACTGTGCTTCCAGGCCTGGAGTCGAGCCTGCCGCGGGACGAGCTACCGGCCCGGCCCTGGGTCCCCTCGCTGGAAGGGATGGGGAAAACCGGCGTGTTTCGGGATGAGTTGTGAACAATAGTCATAGAATTATGGGTGGTCTGACCGACTCTGGCCTGCGCCGGCTCCAGCATCGCAGGCTGCAGTGCTGCAGCAGCCGCAGCGCCGGATTTCCCTGTCAGCCAAGCGGCTGCTCACACCAGGTTCATGTCAGGCAGTAAGAGGCCCGTTTAAGGTTTATTAGTAACACTAAAGGAAGGTGCTGTGTGTGAGCATCTCATAATGCAGTTAAGAGTTGCTGTCTTAAAATTTCCTTTGTGGCAGCTCATAGAAAAGCTAAGTTAAATCACTTCAGGTTGTGAGATAACCTAATTGTTGGTGGAAGGCCCGCTCAGCCTAGGGTGGGTTAGTCAGTGCCTGACACCGCTTACCACAGGGCCACCCCCAGGGAGTCAGAGCTGAAGGAAGCTTCTGGATCAGTAAGAGCTGAGGTGCTGTCCTGCTGAGCTGTGGGATGTGATGTGCTGGTGGCGATAAGAAGAGGAGTGGGTGGACACTGAAGCATAAACCCTCTATTCCTTCTCACATCTGCAGCTTGGGCATGGTGTCCTCTCCCATATCTTGGCACCTGTCAAGTATTTGATGTCCTACTTGGATAGGGCTTGGGATGTTCCATTTCTCCGGTGCTTTTGTTCCTTCCTCCAAACTGCTGGTGATTATTACACAGGAGAATTTCCACCAGTGCTGACACGGACTTAAGCATTTTGTTGCTGGCTGTGGCATTATTCTTTCGGCTTCACCGAGATGCTTACACATACAAGGAAGAGCCACAGACATACTGGTAGTTGCTGCCTGATCTCAGTTAATGTTATTACTGGATTTATATATGATGTTTTCAAGCTCAGCATTTGATCCTTCTTCTTGGTTTTATTTACAAATGGGACATTTTACATGAATGCTCCTCTATATGTGGAATTACTCTGTAGTAATCTGTTTCTTGTTTCTCTCATTTGATGTCTGTTAATTTAATCTGTTTTAAGGTACAACAATGCTGGGAAGAGCTCTCAGAGGCATTATTCAGGGCTAGCTGTAGTTCTTGATTTCTTTATTGTCATGGTACTTGAATCTGAATGAGCACCCAGTTACAGGACGGTGCTTGGTGAAAGTCAGTTGAGCTTTCTATGAAGTTGGGTTTTATTTCTACTGCACTGTTTGTGCATGTTCAACTTCCATGAGGAGTTACTTTGATGATGTCTGATTTTAAAAATCTTAACAAAGCCTTGTTTTCCTTCCAGATTGGATGTAGAGACTAAACTTCTTCCAGGTGTCCCTCTAAAACATGTATTTCTCCATGTAATCCTCCTGATGGAACACCAGCCGGGGTTCCCTTCCTGCTGTTCAAGCTGACTGGCTGCTTGTAGAGGTGGTGAATGGCGAGCATATTCTCGGTGATGGCAAGTCCTACAATTACATTTCAAGTCTAACGGCATCTCCATAGCCTTCTGTGAATGCTCAGGCACCATATTCCTGGGATCTAAGCCAAAGAGCGGAATTTAAATCTGTCTGGCTAACTGCCACAGCACAGACAGGCAGTTTCTCCATCTCCTAAACCAGCCATATTGTTCTAATCAAGACTTGCTGAAGTGCATCTGATTTGGTTCTGTTGGAATACAGTGTGGTGAGCAAGACCTCCTCCTAGTCTGGAACAGCTGGTAGAAATTCCACTTGCACTTCCTACATTCAGCCCCATATGAAAAAACAGAAGTGAAGCAAAACTAAGTCTAGAATCATAGAATGGTTTGGGTTGGAAGGGACTCTAAAGCTCATCCAGTTCTAACCCCCTGCCACAGGCTGGGTCACCTTCCACTAGACCAGGCTGTTCCAAGCCTGGCTGGCCTGGCCTTCAGCACTGCCAGGGATGGGGGCAGCCACGGCTTCTCTGGGCAACTTGTGCCAGGGCCTCACCACCCTCACAGGGAAGAACTTCTTCCTAAGATCTCATCTAAATCTACTGTATTTCAGTTTAAAACCATTTCCCCTTGTCTTGTAACTAAATGCTCTTGTGAAAAGCCCTTCTCCAGAATTTAATTATTATTAAGAAGTTGTGCCTGGACAAGAGGACCTCCAGAGGTCTCTTTCTAGCTCAGCCAGTCTGTAACTCCATGCTTCAGTGCTCAGCTGGGAGCAGTAAACAAGCTGTGCTTTATATAAAGAGATACTGTGTGATTTCCAGAACTATCTGTTTTGACCATGACTCTGGGTTTACAGGCACTATTACCAGTAGCTTATGATGAAAGGATGAAAGCAGCAGAGCTTTTGTCAGAGTACGTAAGTACGGCAGAGTACTTTACGTGCTCTGTAGTAAAGTACACAGAACATTCCAGACTCCTTGTTTGTGGTATTTATTTGGTTTGTCTCATTCTTTTCCTAAGGTTCAAATGTGGAAATTGCCCTGGATGTGGTTGCTGCTGCTGCTCTGGGAAAATGCCTTGATAGGAAATTAACACCATTCAGTGATGGGCTGTGGGACAAGCAAAGTGCTTCCCGAGCCCCCCAGAGATGTGCAGTTAGATCTGGTGAAAAAAGTTGAACCTTACACAGGCCACAGTGAGATATACAAGCATTTCATCAAGGATGACTGCGGGATCAAAGCTGGCTCTCCCTCACCTCCACAGCATGCTAACCCGTACCCTGGGAACCACTTGCCTATCCACTTGGACCAGCCTGAGCCCCGCAAGAACAAAGTGGCTAAATACCGTGCCAAGTTTGACCCCAGAGTGACAGCAAAGTATGACATTAAAGCCCTGATTGGGAGAGGGAGTTTTAGCCGCGTTGTACGGGTGGAACACAAGGCCACCAAGCAGCCCTACGCCATCAAGATGATAGAGACCAAATACCGGGAGGGGAGGGAAGTGTGTGAGTCGGAGCTTAGTGTGCTACGCCGGGTTCGCCACACCAACATCATTCAGCTCATTGAGGTGTTTGAGACCCAGGACCGTGTGTACATGGTGATGGAATTGGCAACTGGAGGAGAACTGTTTGATCGAATCATTGCTAAGGGCTCCTTCACTGAGAGAGATGCTACACGCGTGCTGCAGATGGTGTTGGATGGTGTGAAGTATCTGCATACGCTGGGTATCACACACCGGGACTTAAAGCCGGAGAATCTGCTGTATTACCATCCCGGAACAGATTCCAAAATCATGATTACGGACTTTGGGCTGGCGAGTGCTCGGAAGAAGGGAGATGACTGCCTGATGAAAACCACGTGTGGGACCCCGGAGTACATTGCTCCCGAGATCCTGGTCAGGAAGCCATACACGAACTCTGTGGACATGTGGGCGCTGGGTGTCATCTCCTACATTCTCCTCAGTGGCACTATGCCCTTTGAAGATGACAACCGCACCCGCTTGTATCGGCAGATCCTGAAAGGAAAATACAGTTACTCAGGCGAGGTGAGTGTGCTAGGGGTTATGGTGAGGGGAAGGCAAGCAAGAAGATCTTCGTAGATGTTTCTTTGTGATGACCAGAACCTGGCTGTTGTGTGCAAGCTGGTAATATCACCAGGGTTAAAAAAAAATCTGTGATTCTGGCTTTTAAAATGCTTTGCTGTTTTCTGTCTGCTTTTCAAAACTGCTTCCAGTGCAGCATAGACAGCGCCTTTTAAAAATGTGTGTGTAAAGAAAGAAGAGGTCTCTTCCTGTAGAACAGAGCAGGGATTCTTGTGGGTCAAAAACCCAGAATAAATTAATGATTATTCTCATATGCTTAGTTGTGACAGGTATATTGGCATTTTACTGATGGATGGAAGGACTCTAACATGTTAAGGCTTAAACATATTAAGCTTTTGGATTGTGTTTTTTAAAAAAATGAATCACTTTCTGCAGGTTTTCAGAGGTGTCACGAAGTCTTTTCTGCTTCAAAGCTGTCGCGCCAGCTTGTGTTGATAGATGGAATATCCAGTTACATGAAACTGAGGAACATTGGCATTAGCATAGGAGGCCACTGAGGAAAGCCCAGATTTGACACCTTTGTGAGTTTTGTTATTTCTTCCCGTGAGCCCTCCTCAGAAACTCCCTGTGTGTGCAGAAGAGGCACGAAAGTGAGAAGTCGTAAAACCCAAAATTTGTTACTTTCTGGACCAAGTGCATTGCTTCCTTCAGGAACTGCAGTACTTGATTCATTTCTTGCCCAAAGTATTCTATCAGCTGCTTCCTTGAACTCCCAGGAACTGCTTACTTGCTTCCTTGAGCTCTAAGCTCCTGCTGACTTTGGCAGCCTTTGCTGCTTGGTTGATTTGGTTAATAGGATTTGTTAACCAGTTGGAGAGTTTTGTGGATGCAGTCAGGTTACCCTAATGCAGAAACAGATGAATTACCAGCCACATGTAACATCTGCAGGGTCACACTGAAAGACAAAGTCCTATTTACTGTATAACCAGTGGTGGCAAATCTGTCTTGAGCAACCTGGTCTAGTGGAAGGTGTCCCTGCCTGTGGCAGGGGGTTGGAACCGGGTGAGCTCTAAGGTCCCTTCCTGCACAAACCACTCTGTGATTCCATGATTCCAGGGCATGTTCTGCCTGTTATTGCAAAATTTGGTAATTCTGGAGTCTTAGAAGCAAGCGGTGGCATACAGGTTTGGCACCTAGTTAAGTTATACTGATGCTACTGAGCTGCTGAGGTTAAAAACAAAGCTGAGGAAGTAGTGAGAAACCGTGTGATAAATCGGCTGATGTTTGGTGTGGACAAACTTGAGCTGGTCCCATGGGAAGACTGGGACAGTTTGCATTTTCTGTAAATGGTGGTGGGTCTTGAAGGTGCTTCTTGCTCTTCAGAGGAAACAATCTGAGATTAAGCACTTCTAAATATCATCTTGATACTCATGATCAAAAGCCATCTCATGTTAGGAGTTAGTGTTATTGTTGCAGGTATCCTTGCTGTGCCATGGAGTGCTGTTCTGTTTCCTCTGGAGAATAAAATACAGGATTGAAAAGCACACAAGGAATGGTAGTGTAAATAATCAAAGGTATGGGCTGGCTTCCATTTGAAGAAAGAGTGACCAGACAAAGGCTTTTCCTTCAAAAAAATCAGTGAGGGGGCAGTCTGACCAAACTCAGTACAGCCCCGGGCAGAATAGAGAGAGTGAACAGAGAAGCAACTGTTTTGGGTGTTCCCTGGGGTAACTTCATTTGATGTTCTCTGGTCCTTGTGCCAGAACTCAAATTACCTTGAGAAATTTAATGACTTCGTTGCAAGTAGGCCACTGGATGCTTGTAGGCTAAGTACATTGCTGTATAGATACAGAATATATGTGTGTGTGTATATATATAGTGTATATATATAGTGTATATACAAAGGCAGCACATGTGCCACAGCAAAAACATTAGACTATATGTTTAGAAAGTGCCTGTGCACAAGCCTGAAGCATTTTACTTGTTATCCCACCACAAATTACATACTTCAGGAAGCTGTTACAGATCCTGTGTATGACATGAGTGGTTGTTTTGGAAAGCTGTAGATGTTTTACTGCTTGGAAAGCAAATATGTGTCAGCCAGTAGCCAGTATCTTTTGCCCAGATGCTTTCTGTTCTTCTGGAGCCAGGGAAATGGATGCTTTAATTTTCCAGTGTAATTAAATGTGTGCCTGTAAATTGCAGGCATGTTTGACTCTAGCCAGGTATTGGCAGGAGATGCAGTAGCGGGCTGCTCACTTTGTGGATCAATTTTAGGTGAAAACAAAGTGAGCCAGAGATTTAGAGAAGCCTGTCATGTTACCCATGGCATCTTAAAGCCATCTTCTGGAGTTATAAATGCATCCAAATTCCTGATGTTCACAGAAAATTGCTGCTTTTTCTTTTTTTTTTTTCGGAGTGTTTTCCACTGTAAGAAGTGGAAAGATGTCTGAAATGAGGCTATTGATAAATTCATCACAGTAATGGAAATGGCAGGAGCTGTAAGTCCTGGTTTATTTGGAACAAGAATGGGCATAATAACTGACTGCATTGCAGAAGCAGAGATTTCATGGGAACGACTGCTTTTCTTCTCTGTAATGTGAACTTTAAAGATGTGAAACGAAGAGGAAATGTTAAAAGCAGTCTGTGAAGTGCCCAGAGCTGACAGTCTGAGTTGTGAGGCTCAGACCAGTTTCAGTAGGGAAGAAGGGAGCTGTCTTCCCAGCGGTGCTGCTATACGCTGTCACACAGCAGCAGTGCCCTGAGTTTGCCAAGAATCAGCTCCAAGCCCCACTTCTTGAAAGGTCGGGCATCAATACCTGCTCAGAGAGGACAAAGCTGTATTGAGAGAGGAACAAAAGCCAAGGTGCATGCTGACCTGAGAAGTAGCTCCATGTTCTTGAAAAACAAGCAAGCTCATGGCCAGCTAATGTAATTGCTTTCTGACTGGGACCCTCTTACCACCACTTTCCTGTTCCTGGAGTGTGAAGTCTGTTTGAAGAGGCTATTAGCAGATCAATAGGAGAGATCCCCATAATAGGCTATTCAGGTACTGCTGACATCAGTGTTCTGATTCTCTTGTATCTCCTTCTGTACATTCTGAGCTGCTTCAAATAATGGGTAGGGTGAGGAGTGAAGGAAAGGTTGGCTTTGTAACTTGACATGTTTTTTTCCTGAACATTTCTGAGCAAGGGTTATGTTGGTTATTGAGACTGTGTTTGATGTAGCCTCCTACAAAGTCACTTGTTTTGTTAGAACTCACCAAAAAGAACACTTGGCAATATTTTAATTGAAATCTTGGGGCTAAAACTGATTTCTGGGATCTCTTTGTAGTTTAAGAAATTGTCTGAGGAATAAAGCTGGAATTCCATTCACAGTTCCCTTTGAATTTGAAAGTGCAGAGATGAACATTGGACCACCATTATCCTGACAGACTTGCTCTGGTTCTGTTTCAAAGCTTATCCTTCTTTTGAATACTGGATGCTTTTATGTTGCTTTACACACCTGGGAAGCTTGCTGAAGAAGTGGAAGGTAATACATGTTATGGTTAAATTGGGAAACTGAGCTGGGGTGCATGGATTGTTCTGGTTTTAATACGTTAACTGGGCAGATATTTTCCCCGTGGTCTGTTTTGCTATTCATAAACCAGAATCACTGTTTTGTGGTATGTTCACTGTGAGTGAGGTTGGTGTGTGATGGTGTGGGAACATCTCTCAATAAAACAAACAAAAAGCTTATTCTAAATATTGGTGCTAGTGGAGGTGTGGATAAATGGGATATAAGGTGAGGCATGTTTGATACATGAAAGAAGCTGGGCGTTTCAAGACTGTAGGATCTCTGCTATGCAGACAGATGATCTGGCTTATGTGGCTTGCTTAGATTTTCCAGTGGTGTTTAATAAAGTTCCTCACCAAAGACTCCTGACAAAATTTTGCATCTGTAACACAGTAGCAGCCTTTGCATGGACGAGCAGTTTGCTGGAGATAAGCACAAAGCTGAAATACGTGGTCAGTCCACAGGGAAGGGAGAAAGAAACAGTGAAGTTTGTACAATCTGTTCCCTTTTGCCCAAAACTTTAAGGAGAAAGTTTGCTAAAAAGGGATACAGTCACTGATGACAGAGATCTTCAAATGGCAAAAGGAAGAGCTGTGGACCTTATAAGTTTTGCCTGAGTTTGAAGAACAGCTGGACCAATTCATCGAAGATAAATCAGTGGAGAGAATGACACTAAAAAGTCCCAAGAATGGATAAAGAGGTGTCTAAGCCACAAATTCTTGAGAATATGGGGGAAGAATTTTAATTGCAGTACATAGGTTGTTTTCTTGGGCTTTCACTCCTATCTGCTGTTGGCTGATGGTGGAGACACCACACTGGACTGGATGGATAATAGAATCCCAGACTTGTTTGGGCTGGAAGGGACCTTAAAGCTCATCCAGTTCCAACCCCCTGCCACAGACAGGGACACCTTCCACTAGACCAGGTTGCTCCAAGCCCCATCCAACCCAGCCTTGTAAACTGCCAGGGATGGGGCAGCCACAGCTTCTCTGGGCAGCCTGTGCCAGGGCCTCAGCACCCTCACAGGGAAGAGCTTCTTCCCGAGGTCTCATCTCAGTGTCCCCTCTGTCAGGTTAAAGCCATTCCCCCTTGTCCTGTCCCTACAGGCCCTTGTCCAAAGCCTCTCTCCAGGTTTCTTGTAGCCCCTTTAGGCACTGGAGCTGCTCTAAGGCCTCCCCTTAAGGAGCCTTCTCTTCTCCAGGCTGAACCAGCCCAGCTCTCTCAGCCTGTCTCCAGAGCAGAGCTGCCCCAGCCCTTGCAACATCTCTGTGGCCTCCTCTGGACTCACTCCAACAGCTCCGCATCCCTCCTGTGGTGTTGCACCAGAGCTGGATGCAGGACTGCAGGGGGGGTCTCCCCAGGGAGGAGCAGAGGGGGAGAATCCCCTCCCTCAACCTCCTGCTCACCCTCTAGGGATACAGCCCAGCATGTGGGGGGGTTTGGGGAAC